ATGTTCGAAGATGTGTTAACTTTACAGCTCGTTTTATTTAAAAATGTTAAGGAGACTTTGGTGTGTTTTGACTTGAGTGAATTAATGGTGGTTTTTACTACTTGAATCGGTTAGCACGGGCCAACACGGCTTAATGTTGGGCCGGTCAGCTAACGTTAGCAGTTTCACTTGTAGAGAATGTATGTTTGACGGCGGAAGGAGGCCGCATGAATTTCCCAACACTTCATACCTTTACACGAAGGCACATATGTTTGAAGGTTGCCTAACTGTAATACGAAACTTTTAACCAGATATTCTTTGTACTCGCTAGTAAATTATAAGTCGTTTAATCATGAATTAAAGCGACAATAATTCATGTTGGAGGGTCCATGACTCATATCAGTCCCTGAAATCTGTTAGTCAGAGCTGCCTTCATGATACATTTCTTTGGTATGTCATCGTATTTGTTCTTGGTCTGTAATCGTGATTGACAGAAACTGGCAGGAACAGAATGGAGTAACACACTCGAATTGCTGACACCTGGTTTCATTCCTTCACTCTGCTGTTTACGAGAATTATCTTCCAAGAAAATCAGACACTACTTCTTTGTAAGTTTACGGAAGGCTAGGGTGGGGCTGTGGCCTTCACCTCACTCTAAAATAGTGTATACCCTAAAAATAACACAACACGTGTCACAGTATACACGGTATATGCTCGGTTCTCAATAACTTTGCATGGAGTTGAATTTTGAGCATAGTGGCCGGGTGATGAAACCCGAAGTGAGGATGGCGTGAAATATATTAAGCACACACCTGTCAGGTAGCACCCCTCACCACCGCAGTCTCGGTTTCAGCATGTATGTCAATGATGTTAAAAGGCGCTCACGCCTATAGACTGATTTTTGTTTTCTTTTTTTTTTTTTTTAGATCACATCTACTCATTTTTTGTTACTTTTGTCTAACTGGTTATTGTTTTTCCTCATAGGAGCTTAACGACCTGGCTCGTGACCCTCCAGCACAGTGCTCAGCTGGCCCAGTGGGTGATGATAGTAAGTGTCCCAAACCTGCTCTTTATTTCATTTCTTTAGTTTCATCAAAAATAAAATGGCAAAAATCTGCAACTAAGGTGATATTATCTAATGTGTCATTTGAGATGTGCAGCCCACAAAAAGAACAATTTTTCATTTTTGAAATGCTGTCATGTGCTAAACTTTAGCATATTTGCATTTAAAAACATGTCTTAAATATTATAAAACCATTTGGATGTTGATTTAAAGTGGAGAAATTGGTTGCTGCTGCGTTTAGAAAATTTACAGTGGGATATTAAAATTGACTTTGAAACAGGGAAATTGCGTTACTGGGAAGCTATGAGGTCTGTTTGGAAACCTTAGTTCCTGTCAGATCACATACCTGTGACCTTTTCTTGTTTTGTAACTTTTACTTTCTGTTCTCTGCAGTGTTTCACTGGCAAGCCACAATCATGGGGCCTGTAAGTAGATCTTTTATGACACAGTTGTTGCCCTTGTCAGGTTTATGGCAGCACGGTGCTGAAATTTGGCATTGAAGTAGTGTTCCCGAGTGCTTAAAATGTATTTGTAATAAAGGTTGAAATTTGACTTGATAATGAGTAGCTGTGTGTCTTCTGAAATATGTAAATGTCCCTTTTTTTTTTTTTTTTTTTTTTTTTTTTTCCCCCCTCCATCAGAGTGACAGTCCATATCAGGGAGGTGTTTTCTTCTTGACGATTCATTTTCCAACAGACTACCCCTTCAAACCCCCCAAGGTAACTGTGGTTGGACTGGTCAAACCTTAAGCAGAGTTTCCTGTTTTGATAACTTAAATATGGAAATTGTCTGTCGTGCTGTAGGCAGTTGTTAGTATGAAAAAATGTCCTGTTTACAGCATAAAGTATCAAAAACAAGGGCCAATTGTTATACTTTAAAATGCTGAACAGCTCTTGAGTGAGGAAGATATCTTCAAAAACACCACATTTATAGTAAATAGGGCCTGGTGATTCTTGCGCCATGAACATTGGCCAGTAGCCTACATGAAGTAATACCTGTCATTCCAGAACTTGACAGTCATGAGCGTCACACGTCAGTGCCTAGTGTCAAAGTTTCTGAGTTGCATAACACGGACATGTTGTTGTCACTATGTTTTTGTATAGCTTTTCACAGTGTTTTTGTTTGTTTTTCTCTCAGGTTGCGTTTACGACAAGAATTTACCACCCAAATATTAACAGTAACGGCAGTATCTGTCTGGATATTCTCAGATCACAATGGTCTCCTGCGCTTACTATTTCTAAAGGTATGAGGACATCTGTTCATTAACACCCAACTTGTATAATTTACTTAGGCCCATATTTTTACCAGGTATTTATTTCCCTGCTTTTTGGATCAGCAAGACCTGTACTAATAATATTTAATGTCTACAGTTTGAGTTTAAAATTGAGAATATGGTAAACCATTTCTTTACCTTAAAATGCTAATATAAATCGTGTAAATAAATTGAAATGTCAAGGGAAATTAAACATTCCCTTTTTTGTATTTAATTTTTTTAAAGCCATCTAAAATATAATAAATGTTAAAGAATGCTTAGCATCCATATGTTCCTTGCAGTTCTTCTCTCCATTTGCTCACTCCTATGTGACCCAAACCCCGATGACCCGCTAGTGCCAGAGATCGCACGAATCTACAAAACAGATAGTCAGAAGTAAGTATAAATATGTGTGGAAAAACTAACCTCTAAACATGTGAACTGACCAATTCTGTCTCCAAAAAGGAACATGAGAGTTTTATGGTGCTGTGTTTGCAAGAAGTGTTGCGGTTTCAAAGTTGCTGATTGCATTGATGTCAAATTCACCTTTATCTCTAGGGTATATTATAAAACCTAGTTTTATCCTGTTAGGTACAATAAACTAGCACAGGAGTGGACAGTCAAGTATGCCATGCTTTAGGGTAAGGCCAAGAGCCATCACTGCATCTTGGCTAGTGCTAAGTGATCGGATATGTTGTGATGCTCTGCTCAATACATAACTAGAGGCTTGGATCTGTTCTAAAGAGTGTGACTAAAATGAGCTGCTTGTACTAATCTTTGTCTCTACGAGCCAAATAACTTATTGACCCTGCACTGCTCTCAGGGTGTGGGTTTGGATTTTTATGTGCACCTTGATTTCCTGTAGTTGCACTCTCCTGCTGGAAATAAACAAGTTAACTGAAAATTTTTGCCTGTGGATATAATGGACACTTGAGTATTGTGGTGTACCGCTAACACAGGGCAGAGGAAAATCAAGATGTAATAGAAAAACCCTTTTAGTGTTCCATGAAATTCTAGTCTGGTAATAAGGAAGCACCTCCTTAACTCCCTATATAATTTTTTTTTTTTTTTTATTTCTTTGTAACCCCACAAGTTTCATTCTTTGGTATGATTTCTAGCATCAACTTGTAGAGACTTGAGGACAATCCCTCAGTTAATCATGGGTTGCCTGCATTTGTCAGTTGCATTGTTCAACAGATGTCACAGCATTGTGGAAAAATGTTCATGGTGATGCATTTAAGGACACTGCAACAGCTGGCTGTCAAAAAAGGCTGAATTCATGAGCTTGATGTCTAAAATTAAGGCAGGGCTGATAAACAAATGAAAAATGTGATATGATGGTTAGGTTTGTTAAGCGCGTTGCTAATTGGCCAGTATTTTCAAACATGTCAAAGGCTTCTATTTTATTTTTTCTCCTTTCTTCCCTTCCCTCTCCCCACACATGAACTCTGGACAGTGTGGAGAAAAATCAGGTTGTCTAAGTTGCCCTTTGTCATGTAGCACACAACAGGAAATGGTCTGCTTCAGATGCATTCTCGCTG